CTTTTCCTTTATATACTGGGACTATCACGGCTTTGCACCAGTCTACCGGTACCCGCTTCAGTTCCCAGCATAAATTAAACAAGGTGTGCAGCAGGCCTGCCACCACCTCCTCTCCAGCCCTTAGCATTTCGAGTGAAACTCTATCATATCCGGGCGCCTTAATGTGAAAATATCAAGTGAAATTGCTCATAGCTAAGCAACTCCTATTCATTGGAAACATAGAGCTTAGCAGTGAAATATAGCTCTTTTATTAAATATATATCTTTTAGATCGCCGTGATACTATCGTCTTTCTAGACCTGCATTACTGTTCGCACAAAAAAAGCTATGCAGTCTGAATATATGGATTTGCCAAAGGTTTCGTATTGTTTGAAAGCTTTGTCAGAATTTTTAAACATTATCGAGCCTTTTCATCTGTTCTAATATCAGATGGATCCAATTCTTAAGCCAGCCCGATCCCGAAGAAAGAAAATATTATTTGTGTACGAAGATTTAGGTGTAACACCGAATGATCCTATAGAATTGTTTAAAATTAACGTTTTTCACCATGTGATTGATGCAATTAAAAGTAAAATAAAAGTAAGTGTAAAACTATTTGAATAAGAATTAATACTATGATATGACTGTTACCGACTTTTGTTTCGACCGGTGATCTAATTAAATTTTAGAACACAAAAGCTACTATTATGACTTAATTATGATAGTTAGATACCTATATTCCTTACGGGGACTTTTCTGCAGGTACGAAGTACGAATAATGAGTACTTTAATCATGTTGCACATAATTTTTATGTATCATCAAGTTTTCTCAGCGCACGGCAAATAATTTATTTTATAGCCAAACTTTTGCTACCATTTTTCGGCTTCGGTTATTGGATCCACCCTTAGTTGGAACACTTAAGAAAAACAAACCAGATAAATACCTCAGGATATTTTGCCAAACAAAACTAGAATTTAGCTCTCTTTTTGGTTTCCAAAAAACAATGCCCATGGTATCGTATGTTCCAAAACCGAATAAAGCTGTTGTGTTGTTATCTTCCATGCATCATGCAGTTAATATCGACCCAACTTCAGGTGAACAATGGCACCAAAAGAGGAGTGGACACCAATGATTACTTGTGTGGTACATACAGCGTAGGAAGGCGAACTAAACAATGTTCGTTAACCATGTTCTTCCATCTTATAAATGTTTCAGGCATAAATGCACTCCTTTTACATTGATCAAATACCGAAAAATTACGTACTCACGTGAGGCGTAATTTTTTGTGGCAATTATTTTCTGTTGAACTAGTTCACAATCACCAGAAACGACGACTTGAAGTCATTGCAACTCCCAAGGTTGTAAAAAAACGTCTTATGGAAGTTCATGAATTGTAAAACTGCGTCCCAACAATCACTGTAAAGCGTGGGCGTTGCAGCAACTGCCCGCGGAAAAGTGATCGTAAAATATCCACAAAATGAAAAAATGCACAAAATTTGTGTGCAATGATCAGTCATAAATATACTGCCTACAGAGTAATAAAAGTGATTCGGAGAGTTCCTAAAAATATTTATTATATTTATAAAAATATTAATTTTGATCTCAGCATAAAATTACAATTTTATGATTTCTGAAGTAAATAAGGATTAAATAAAACACACCAAGAAACCTAAATATATCTTTATTTTATATGTAATTTACACATGGAATATAAAAAGTGGGTCCAAATTAAAAGGTCCATGATTATCTATTAACCAAATTGTATTTTTGACAAAGAATCAGATTCAATCCTCTCTGCGATAAAAAGCCACCATGTGAAATACATTATCTTATAATATAATCTAATGATATATTAATAATGTTATAAAGTAGTAGTACAATTATAATAAAATATTTTAGACAACCCATTTGCTATTATAAATGCAAATACATCTCTTAAACATCCTTTTGAGACTTGCACCTGTATCATTATTTATTATTATTAGTGATTATTTGTTATGACAACTGGAATCTTATTCTAAATGACAACCACAATGATGTCAAAAAATCTTAACCTAAATTGATTTTAACGTCCAGAACAACTAAGAATCTTTAGTAGATTTAATCTACTCACGGAGCTATCAAATGGATGCGCTTTAAATTAATGTCAAAAGATTAACTTATCTTAGTGCAAAGCAATGGGTGGGAGAATCTTAATTAAATAGAATATATTATAAAATACTTACCAATACTAGTGAACTAACGAGTTTGTACTTTGTTCACTGATTAACGATGCGAAGGTGACATGTAGTGAGGCAGAGAAAAGAGGTTAAGTTGGGAGAGGTCTAACGTCTACAGATAAATGGTCATTAAACATAAATGGGCGAAACAGAAATGTGATGTTACTTATTTATATCAATTTATCAATAACAAAATAAACACTATTTTGTTTGACGAAGTCAACATAGAAATCTGGAAAGGTTTATTTGAGGCACCGTGTACAATGGATGCGTACCGCCGGTGAGGTCCGCGGCACTAAGTCTGCGAGCGTTACATGATGCGACAGTTCTCATCACCTTCGCGGATTTCTCCAAGCTGAAAAAATAACAAATTACGTAAAATTTAAGATATTATTTCTTAATACCTAAAGTTTCCACACAAGAAATTCTCACTTTAGAGAAGAAACAGGAGTGAATAATGTTATATAATATTTTGAGCTACGGTAGCCTAAGATTATTAAGATCCCACTAGCCGCGTACCCACCTAGCGCACGGGCTCGCGAGGTAGCCTCGGTGTGCGGCTCAAGAGCGAAGGCTTGCGAGGCAGCCTCAGTACTTTTGTTCGGAACTCAGAGGCATGCCTCGCAAGGCAGGTGAAGCTATCATAAGTCCTCGAGCATCCGAAATAGACAGTTGTGTAGTTGCAGCTGCAACTTACTTATTGTTAAAAAAAAAAAACGAAAACAGTCACGTTTAAGAAAAGATCTATACGCTTCTGGATTAGAAACAATATAAGCGTCGCATCAGACTATACATTCATTGAATTAAACGAATCGACCCATTCTGATTGCTCATACTATATTATTAAAGTGACTGTTCAGTAAAACTAAAAACAAATACTATCGTATCGCCTCGCGAGTCAAAATACCACCGTACACACCAAACGAACAGCATTCACTGAGGCACCTTTGAGAGCGTTTAGTTTACCGACAACGTATGGCTCGCGTTCGAGCGGCGCTCAGTCGAGGCAACGTGCGCCCGAGACAGCCCGAGGCACGTCCACACCAGCCGAGGCATTTGGATCGCGTGGTTGGCGCGAGTCCGTGCGCTAGGTGTGCACGCGGCTATTCTCGATTAATTTCATGGTACACGAGCAACCTAGATTTGATCCTCATCAGCACTAATTAAGTCTGCTAACATTTAGACAGTACGGCGAATTCTTCAATGCTTCAACCCCCCGAAGATTAAGAAGAAGCTTGTGTCCAACTGTGGGACATGTAGATTTTTACTTTACTTTTTTAATTATAATAGATAGGATGGATTTGTGCATACATAAATTGCGCATCTACAAACATCGAAACACAATCATTTTATACAAATTTTGTATAACAGTATAAAATACATATAAAGTACTCTGTGGTCATTAAAGCTGACGCAAGCTGCATACTGGCGTCGATTATCGGGCCTCCAGGTATTTGTGTGCATTTATAGGACCTAGATGCTTCCCACATTTATTTTCGATGTAACATTAGGTCCATATTTATTCAAGTCCATGGTTCTCATAGAGAATATAACCACTAGAGAGCGTATAGGCAGATTTCTTCTAAGCATACGACTCACTACTGCGGGCCGGGGGACGAGGAAGAACGCGTGCCTGCAAATGGTCAAGTTGCGTTGTTATGGCTATCTTTAGGGTTGCTCTTCTTAATAAAGGAAAATATTCGTTATCGATAAAATGGATTTTATCATTATGAAAAATACTCAATTAAAATCATATAAATAATATTTAATCAAAGTCAATCAGTTACAACAAAAACATGTATTTATTATATTATTATTGATTTTTAAAATGAATAATTTTTTATATTTATTTCGAATTAAAGTTTAAGGGTCTTGATTGTTCTTTGTAAAAAAATGTAAACAAGCGTCTACAAATTTGTAAATTATGCATCTTGCTAATTCAATTAAATGATTTGTTGATTCTATTTCATATTGATGAATTCAAATTGTAAGCCGTTCTGATTTGGTACACCAATCTAACTAATTTAACTAGGTAACTATAAACTTTAACTAAGAAAAAATACCGACAAACTGAGAACCTCCTCTTTTTTATGAAGTCGGTTAAAAGTCGATAAGTATTTTTTCACAGTCTGTGAATTGAATAATCTTAATAATTTTATTATTTTCCATATCGACTTTCAGCTATTAAAGGGTAAGTACTAATGTTTACGATAAAAATACAAAGGGAAAGAAAGGGATAGAAGCATTAGAATTGTCTAATAATAGAACGAGACTTTTCCAAAAGACATCAACGCGCGACTCAACTATGTCGTTATTTACCCGGCCACCGTTTTAGATAGACCCCTGCGGTGGCTCATAATCTGAATTAATCAACAATAATTTTCGTATTTTTTACTGAGCAATGAAAAGTTACTCCATTATTGTTGGACACCTGTCCTGGAATGTTTCCCATGCACATGAAGGCATTTTGATGCATTATAATTGCATAAAAGTTATAAAAATTTGCATTAATTTAGCGTGCACACAGGTCTAACACTTGGACATTACTAAAATGGTTAATAGTACCATATCCGATGCATAGGCGACAAAATACTAATAGTTTTCGAGCGTCGGGGCACTGTATGCGCAGTCAAGTGGTTATATAGTCTTTGATGGTTCTGGCGCTTTTTAAAAGAGCTGACAGGTTTTTTTTACAGTAGTTGGCAACGCTAAGCTTGGTGTCATGTATAAAATATAAAATAAAATAAATAAAAATAACAATGTATGTGCGAGACGTGTAGTGGTGGTGGTGATGAGCTGTACATGCACCGCCACCTGCTGCGCTCGCTACACACATTCCCGTACCTGTTCGCGGCGCGGGCGCTTGTGCGCGAGCTCGCGGTGCCGCTGCGCGCTGGTGCTCACGTGCCGCCGTCGCCGCTCCGACACCACCACCTGCTGCGCTCGCTACACACATTCCCGTACCTGTTCGCGGCGCGGGTACTTGTGCGCGAACTCGCGGTGCCGCTGCGCGCTGGTGCTCACGTGCCGCCGTCGCCGCTCCGACACCACCACCTGCTGCGCTCGCTACACACATTCCCGTACCTGTTCGCGGCGCGGGTACTTGTGCGCGAGCTCGCGGTGCCGCTGCGCGCTGGTGCTCACGTGCCGCCGTCGCCGCTCCGACACCACCACCTGCTGCGCTCGCTACACACATTCCCGTACCTGTTCGCGGCGCGGGTACTTGTGCGCGAGCTCGCGGTGCCGCTGCGCGCTGGTGCTCACGTGCCGCCGTCGCCGCTCCGACACCACCACCTGCTGCGCTCGCTACACACATTACCGTACCTGTTCGCGGCGCGGGTACTGTGCGCGAGCTCGCGGTGCCGCTTGTGCGCTGGTGCTCACGTGCCGCCGCCGCCGCTCCGACACCACCACCTGCTGCGCTCGCTACACACATTACCGTACCTGTTCGCGGCGCGGGTACTTGTGCGCGAGCTCGCGGTGCCGCTGTGCGCTGGTGCTCACGTGCCGCCGTCGCCGCTCCGACACCACCACCTGCTGCGCTCGCTACACACATTACCGTACCTGTTCGCGGCGCGGGCATGCGTGCGCGAGCTCGCGGTGCCGCTGTGCGCTGGTGCTCACGTGCCGCCGTCGCCGCTCCGACACCACCACCTGCTGCGCTCGCTACACACATTACCGTACCTATTCGCGGCGCGGGTACTTGTGCGCGAGCTCGCGGTGCCGCTGCGCGCTGGTGCTCACGTGCCGCCGTCGCCGCTCCGACACCACCACCTGCTGCGCTCGCTACACACATTCCCGTACCTGTTCGCGGCGCGGGTACTTGTGCGCGAGCTCGCGGTGCCGCTGCGCGCTGGTGCTCACGTGCCGCCGTCGCCGCTCCGACACCACCACCTGCTGCGCTCGCTACACACATTACCGTACCTATTCGCGGCGCGGGTACCGTGCGCGAGCTCGCGGTGCCGCTGCGCGCTGGTGCTCACGTGCCGCCGTCGCCGCTCCGACACCACCACCTGCTGCGCTCGCTACACACATTACCGTACCTGTTCGCGGCGCGGGTACTTGTGCGCGAGCTCGCGGTGCCGCTGTGCGCTGGTGCTCACGTGCCGCCGTCGCCGCTCCGACACCACCACCTGCTACGCTCGCTACACACATTCCCGTACCTGTTCGTGGCGCGGGTACTTGTGCGCGAGCTCGCGGTGCCGCTGCGCGCTGGTGCTCACGTACCGCCGTCGCCGCTCCGACACCACCACCTGCTGCGCTCGCTACACACATTCCCGTACCTGTTCGCGGCGCGGGTACTTGTGCGCGAGCTCGCGGTGCCGCTGCGCGCTGGTGCTCACGTGCCGCCGCTGCCGCTCCGACACCGCCACCTCCTGCGCACGCAACCCACATTACTCATCATTTTACCTACACTACACCTACATTCAGAGGCGAATTAACAGCTTCCATGTCCGCAAGATAGACGCAATAGTTGAACAACCCAAATGTTCATATACGAGGGGAGGTCAAAAGTTCGCGAAATGACAGGGGAGAATAATGAAATATCAAACTATTTTTCCTTTTCAATGTATTCTCCCTTAACCCTAATACATTTATTAGATCTGTCAAATAACTTATTAATATCGTCTAAAAAAAAGATTTCTCTTGGGCGTAAAATAGGCATACATTGCCGATTTCACTTCATCATTGTCGCCAAATTTTTTCCCACGCAGTTCTTTCTTAATTTTTTGGAAACAAATATTAGCCGCTTGGGGCTAGATCTGGACTGTAGGGTGGGTGGCGCAGTTCTTCAAAACCGTACCGGTGAATGGCAGCCGCGGCAACAAGGCTTGTGTGCACGGGCCCATAGGTATTAGTGCTCCCAACAACTACCGGCATAGGTGCATGGTTACACATGATCTTTGTTTTGTCCATGTTCATCTTAAGACCTATCCGTTGGGAGGCACTATTGAGATCATTGTGCTTAGGTCCTCCAGCGATTCTGCCACAAGGAATAAATATACCAACAGTGAACTTGGTACCGCTGAAGGGTCTGTAGCACCGCCCAAATTTCGACGGAAGCGAAAGCTTTGTCATAGTCCACATACGCCAGGCAAAGTGGCAAATTGTACTCTTCGGTCTTGTGTACGATTTGCCGAAAAGTACGTATGTGGTCTGGTACTAAAGCCCTTTCGGAAACCGGCTTGTTCAGGAGGCTGGAAGTCATCTAGTTCGCGTGCGAGACGATTCGTAATGACTCCCGAAAACAGCTCGTAGACGCGGCTCAGAAGAGAAATAGGGCGTTGCCGCCTTTCTTGAAGAACAAGACCGCCGCACCAAAGTAGTGCCACCATGGATTACAGAATTGAAGAGCTTCTGAAGGACTTTAAGTACCGGTTTCCCACCCACTTTCAGAAGCTCTGCTGTAATTCCATCCTTGCCTGGGGCCTTGCCGTTTTTAAGGTGCTGGAGAGCCATTCTAATCTCGCTCAGTCTGACGTCCGGGATATCATCGGAATAGTGTCAAATAAGACTTGCTCTTGTATCGTTACTCACACTTACGTATGGCTCCAACGATGACGTGTATAGCTGCCCATTGAACCTCTTAATCTGACTTAAAATCTTAAGTGTCCCGGAAACGATGCTGCCACACTCGGTCTTCAGCTTCGACACTTGGCTCTTTCTTGCAGAAAGATCTCTAGTAAAGACTGGAGCCCCGGTTCCGCTCAATCGCTTCTTCAATACGAGCTGTATTGAAGTTGCGTAAGTCCCGCCGCATGTATATGGAGATCTATCAGTTCAGTTGTCTGTATGCTGTCAAATCTGCTGGAGAGGTTAAGAGTGTGATTGGAGAGTTTTTGTGTTCTTCTGCGGCGGATCTTGCTGAATTTAGCTCCGACCGCATGGACAGTTTCCATGAACTTATCAATCGTATCGTCCACTGCATTGCCGTCCTCTAAGCACTGAAAACGGTTTTGTAATTCAAGCTGAAAGTTTTCGAGACCCTGAATTAGCGCACGAGGGGGACGGAGCGTTGATTTCATTAGACGGACCTCTCCAACTTAACGTTTAGGTTGAGTGTGTCTCTAGCCATTCGGGGATTTTCACCTCTGCAGTCACTGAGACATCACTGAACAGTTGGCGTCTGGTCGTCATAATGAAGTCAATCTCATCTTTTGTCGAACCGTCGGGGCTCGACCAGGTCCACTTCCGGTGGGGCCGCTTCTGGAAGAAAGAGTTCATCATAAAAAGTCTATCTTTCTCCATGACGTCGACCAGTTACTGGCCCCTTGGATTTCGTTGCACTATTCCAAATTTCTCTACCTTCAGCTCACCGCTTTCTTGTACCTAGTTTGCGTTGAAGTCTCCCATACATTTCCTCCACCTCCTCATCGGGATGTGCCGAGGTTGGTGCGTAAACCTGTATGACCTTCAGCGAAAACCGTTTGCTTTCAGTTTTATTAAAAAACTTTTAACAATAAATACTAAAGTAGTTAACATTTTTTGTAACATGTACTTTCGGAATGTTGAGAATATTCTGAATTACCTTTTATTAGATACATAGCCTTTTATTACATAGTACAGCCATTGAGCTAAGAAACGCAGCCAGCGTTTTTTTTAAATATTGTATGTATTTTAACGTTTCATTGCATTCGTGCACGCAATTTCAGTGCAACGTAATTTTGGTGCAACCTCTCAAATGTTTTTGTGAGGTTTGAAACAAAAATATTCGAATTTCGTTAAAATAAACTAAAAATTTAAGTTACGGTATACAAACATTTGAAATTATCGCGCGAAAGTTTCATATGTGTACTGTGGTGCTAGTAGTATACACTCCGACGCGTTTAATTTTTTTTAGTTTGGAGATAGCATTCTTCTCTCCGTAGAGTAATTGTATTCTGCGTTCATGAGTATCGATGTTGCACAATGCACTGTGTTTGTCACTTAGAATATACCTAGCATTTTGTGAATATCCTCTAACACCTACACACCTAAAAACACAATACTCTTAACTTATCTACTACTACCTTACTTCTATTGACTAAAACGAAAATATATATATTTTGTACACCACACTGTGGTAGCCTACACGATTCCTACTGTAAACTTTACTAACACCTAACTCACCGTATTCACAAATAAATAAATGAATTTGAATCAATCCAGCATCAGAATCTATCTTAGCTATGCTTTGAGTACTTGTGATTTCCTAATTGAATATCCATTCATTCATTCATTCAGTACATTTACTCTCACTTAATCAATTCTGTATCCTCACCAGAACAGGTGACTTAATATTTAGAATTCTTACCTCTTGTTCATTGTTGTACAAGGTTGTGGTGAATGTGTCCGCCACAAACCACTTCTGTCCCTTCATGACGATGTCGCGGGGCGGGTCGTGGTCGGCGCCTACGTCCGCGGACCACACCGTTACTATGGCGCCGGGCTCCACTTTCACTGTACGGTGGAACTTAAACACGGTCTCCTGGTCGCCAGCCTTACGGACAATCTGATAACCACCCAAGCTCAACTCCTGGAACAAAGTATGTGAGATTGTGAAGAGAGAAAAAATGACAAAGAAGATTTTTTAATTTTAAATTTTGAAGAATGTTACTTGTATTAAGCTGCTTTTATTTTATGATATTAGTATAAAAATATTTATCGCATAGAGGTCACTTTCATCATCATTCAACCTAGCCCATCACAAGTCCAAGGGCAAAAGCCACATTATAGGTGATCAATATTGGTTTTTATAAGTCGCATATTTATAGTCACTTTAATTTGTAGCGCTATTCCATGTAGGGATTCTATGTAGACCGGGTACAAAAGTAATGGCGGGTCGAAAGTAACAAATGCTCTGTAGGTTTATCCAAAAGCCAAACACCGCGTCGCTGCCGTAAGGTGATAGCTGGTTAGCCGGTGACGCTCCCCTCATTTGCATTCAGTCGCCACGCGCGCCACCCGTTGTTAGGTTGCGTGAGAGGACATTTTGTGATTTCACAAATCAAAAGTAAGTTTTTTGACGTTTTCTTATTTAGTGTTTTTGTAGTCCTAAAAGGATAATATCAATCTGAATATTTGCACATTAATTCTTGATTAGATTCATAGCACTGTGTTTTAATTTGTTTTTCTCTAGCATGTTCCGTTTTAAAGATATGTTTCATGTTTTAATAAAAATGTGGGGTACAAAAGTAACACAGCCGTATGGGTACAAAAATAACATGTTATTTTTGTTTCGGTATTGATTTATTTACTTAATATTGTAATGTGTGTATTTATTTAAACAGAATGCCGCTACAACGCATAAGAACTACCACACGAGGAACTACTGACACGGAAAACCGGCTGAAGGGCATTAAAAAGATGGTACAAAAATTAGATCCCTAGCGAAAACATATAATGCTGGTCATGTAACATTATACATAAAAATTAAAGTAGGAAATACTAGCGCAGTTGTATGCTACTGTTGCGTCAACCGTGTTTTTACTACTGATGAGAAAAAATGTCAACAGGACTATTTAATAGAGTGCTGTGGAGTTTATTTTAGGTTCTCTCCATCTGAAGTGCGTAAACTGGTATAGGATTTGGCGATAAAAAATGGTAAAACATTTCCTAAAAAGAGGCACGATACTCAAATGGCGGGTAAAGAATGGTTGACGGTCCTGTTGGTTTTTCGGGAGCTGGCAATGCTAGTGGATGGATGCCGGAAGAAAATTTTTTACTGTTTCTTGTACACTTCAAAAAACAAGTCAAGCCATAAGTTGATACAAAATTCTTGTTACTGCTCGACAACCATTCATGGCATATATCTATCCAAGCTCTAAATTTTAGTTAAAAAATGCAATACTACTGCTGTTGTTTCCACTTCATTGCACGCACAAACTTCTGCCTAGATAGAGCAGTATTTGGACCACTCGAAAAATGATAAACACCGCTACAATCAATTGGATACGGAATTGATTAAAACTACTTTTACGGATTTTATAGCGTTTTATTTATTTTTAATACCCGACGTTTCAGGTGCTTTCCAGCACCCATGGTCACGGGGGACTGAGATGTTTGACGTCCCGATGTCAAAGTTAACCCGGAGTACCTTCAGCTTTTTAATTATTGTCTGTGGTCCGATCTACGCAGAATGAACTAACTGTGTTTGGAAGTCTTGCAGTGGTATACTTGGGTTTAGTTTTAATTTTATTAATTATAGGATCCCAAGCAGGTGATAGTACCCAGCCTCCTTCTCTATTGAAATTAGGATGTTTTTTAATTTCAATAGCCTCACGTATCATCCTTGGTATGAATCGATTTGTGGTCTATCAAATCTGATGTAATGGTTGGGGCCCTCTAGGATATGATCGCAAACTGCAGACTTCCCGGAACGTTGATGCTTCACGTCAGCTATGTGTTCTTTTACGCTGGTTCTAATTGATCTAACACTGTGTTATGTGTGTGGTTAAGTATATAAATTATTATAAATATATCTATTTTATGCAAAAATGATTTAATTATAACGTATATAAAATGAATGATTTTTATTCAATATAGATTATTGCATAATACTTATTGAAAGTCGGCATACCAGCGGTATATTGTCGTTTGACTTGGTGCTTCAACATCATAAATCGAAACAAGTTCACTGAGACATTTATCTTGAGATAAGCCGCGACGCAAATTTCGATTAATTATGGCACGGAAATGTTCACGCGTGAGTTCCATTTCTGTTAACGACGTGTCAACTTTAAACCAACATAGTTTTTGTTTTTGAAAATTTTTTTTTGTTTGAATGTCATTAAGATTCTAAGACCAGTATTCAAATTCTAAAAAAGGTTTTATTGTAACTCAATCCGAAATATTCCATTCCCGATCATTTCAGTGTACCCCTAAATATTTATTTACCATAGGTGTTACAGATAGCCCCCTGTACAGGGCATGCATGGGGGAGGAAGAAACGGCAGCTCACGAGTTGCTGATATGTTCGGAGGTCGCTGCATACAGATCTTAACATCTCGGCACGCCTGGCTCGCCCCCCGAAGTTACTTACAATATCAAAGGACTATTGAACTTCTTCAGGGAGATTTCATGGTTCGAATAATCACATTATTCCTATCCACACGCAAAATACGCGCTTAGACGTGGAGTTGCGAAAAACAGCCCGTCTTAAACTAAACTAGAGGATAGATGTAGCTATGGGCCACAGCATCCACTTACTAGTTGGACTGTGCATTACGATAAGAGCCCTCACCAGATATTAGGGCCATATAAGGTTAGAGAATACAATACCTTCTTGCCCTTGTTGCGTATCTTAACGAAACTGCCGTCTGGACAGGCCTCGGCGACCTCGAGGTCGCCCTTGGCGCTGGAAGTGACGCTGAAGTCCTGCAGGCTGCGCTCCTCGGACTCTTCGAGCAGCGTGCGCTTGCGCGCAGCGCGCAGCGGCGTGGCGCGGCGGCCTGGCGTGCCACGCCCACTGCTCGTTGCGCTCACCGACGCGCGTGACTCCCGCCCTTCGCGCCCAGGGGACTGCGCTGTCAGGTTCAACCTGACAACATAAGTAAATACAATCTTTATCATCATAACTGAAAACTAATAAACTGCAGTTACTAATCCGCCTAACAAACGTGGCAACTATTGCAAAATCCACCCTTTAAGATAATCTATAGGCTAGACCAGAGCCAGCAGTTGACCGGTGTTGTAATAGTTGTTTACTATACTAAACTGCTAAAATTACTAAAAAAGAATATGGAATTATTTCATATGCAACCATAACGTTTTTTATACAGTTAAATTACGAAGAAGCGCTAAGTCATACTCGACTCGTAGATGGTTATAATTTACGTTAGTAGAACTACATTATGTAGTCTCATTTGCAACCTTTTCATTGATTTTTAGCCAAGGCGAAAGAGATGGCACGATATGGCGTTACATCTGTATGTTTCGGGATTTCCTCGGCTTTGTTCATAAAAGTGGTACCTGATTCCGTTCATTACATTAATGAACATTTTACCACCAAGGTTACGGCGGCATGGGGGATGCTAAGAATCTTCAGAGGAGGATCGGTTGCCACCTAAGATAACTCGACCTGGCAACATACAACGAACGCACCCTGAGGATTGGCGAAAAGGTCCTGAAGCTAGAAAAAGAGATAAACAAGTTGCGCTAGAATAACATAGATAGAATTATCCAAGGTCCGAAAAGAGGGATAGGACACGGTAGTTCTCGAATCCGGCAACTTGTTCTATCACCGACTATCTGTACCAAGGTGTCGGATTTATCGTCCACAAATGTCGCGTTAACAATGTTGTAAGGATTGGGAGTGTCGACGAGGGTTGCGTACCTTATACTCAGAATCACTAAACGGTATTCGCTGAAGGTCATACAGGTTTACGTACCAACCTCGGCACATTCTCTTAAGGTAGAGAAAATAAGACGAGTGGCTAACATGGAAGCCGCACTCTCTGCCTATCATGGATATGTTTCTTCGATCCTATGTTACGGCTTAATAATATGGGGTAATTCTGTCGATTTCATTAGAGCCTTTCGTGGACAGAAAAAATGTGTAAGGTCGTTATGCAGAGCACACCAATTAGATAGTTGTATTCCCCTTTTCCGCTCTTTGCCGCTTCCAGCATTATACGTTTACGAAATCTGTATCTTTGTTCACAAAAATAGTAATTTATTTGAAAAACACAACGATGTTGTAATTAGGACTAGTAGAAACATACATAAATTGTGTGTACCAAAGCAAAGAATACAATTCTACCTAAAAAAATGTATATTGTATGGCAATACATGTTTACAACAAATTGCCTGTTTGTTTCTAAAAGATGAATATAGGAATCTTTAAAAGTAAATTATTTCAATTTCTTTTAAATAAATGTTATAACTCAATAAATGACTTCTAAAATGATAAATTTGACTCGAATTGTATTTATAGAATTGCTGAATTTAATTTTTTGAAATGTTTTAACTAAAAATATTATGAATTGATTGATATTCTTGTATTATATAAATTTAGTTTCCATAAGTATTGCCGCAAGTATCTTTATACTATATATTAATTAATATCTTAGTTTTCTACTTTATTTGAAAAATTATCTATCTGAAAATATTTGTACGCCGGAAACAGCAGAATATTTAGGATCGAAATTCTTTTGTAACAACAGTAATGTACCATATTCTGACAAATAAAGCATCTTATCTTATGTATTAAGATATCTCTAGAGCCATGTATTCATTTAAAGCCCAATATACGGTGTTAATGAGAAACTTCAATGATAATCTAAGCACCAGACAGAATGGTGAGCTGAAGGTAGGGAAATTCCGGATAGGGCCAAGGAACTCAAGGTTTAGCAGCTGGCCGACCTTATGGAGAAAGAGTGACTCTTTATGATGTACCCTTTTTCCAGAAGCGGCCCCACAGAAAAGTCGAGTGCTCGAGACCCAAATATTCGACAAAAAATGAGTTAAGCTAAATGTTAGGTTGGAGAGGTTATGTCTAATGAAGTCATCACTCCATCTCCCTCATGCTCTAATCCAAAGTCCTGAAAACTTTCAGCTAGAAATACGAAACAGTTTTCAGTGCCTAGAAGACTGCAATGCAGTGTACTATATGAAAGACAAGCTCGTGGAAACTATCCATGTGGTCGGAGGTATTTTCTGCAAGATCCGCCGCAAAAAATAACAAACATCGTTAATCTCATGGCTGTTAGACAGGAAACGAAGCTGCAGTCAGCAAATTTGACAGCATACAGGCAACTGAACAGACAGATCTCCAAATGCATGCAGTGGAAGCTTACGCAACTTCAATATAGCTCATATTGATGAAGTGATCGAACGGAACCAGGGCTCCAAAATCTTTGCAAGAGACTTGTTTGCCGGAAAGAGCCAATAATCGAAGGTGAAGACCGAATGTGGCAATATTTCAGGACACCTGACATTTTGAGTGAGATTGAGAAGTTCTATGGGCAGCTGTACACATCATCGTTGGACCCACACGCCAGTGTAACAATCCGAGAGAAACTCTTATCTGACACTATTCCGATGATATCCCAGACGTCAGTCTGAGTGAGATTAGAATGGCCCTCCAGCACCTTAAAAACGACAAATCCCTGGGCGAGATTGGAATTACAGCGGAGCTTCTGAAAGTGAGTGGATAACCGGTACTTGAAGTCCTTTAAAAACTCTTTAATTCTGTCCGACATGGAGGCACTACTCCAGAGGCATAGAGCAAAAGTGGTAGTGGAACTTACGGTGGTCTTGTTCTTCTAGAAAAGCGACAACGCCCTATTGAAGAACTACAGACCTATTATCCTTCTGAGTCGCGTCTACGTGCAGTTTTCGAGTCATTACGAATCGTCCCACATGCAGACTCGACGAAATTAAGCCTTTCCGAACAATCCGGTTGTGAAAAGGCTATAGCACCATAGACCACATACATACCCTTCTGCAAATTGTACAGAAGACCGAGGAGTACAATCTGCTACTGTCTTGCGTATGTGACTATGAGAAAGCCTTTGATTACGTCGAAATTTGGGTACTGCAGTCCCTTTAACTGTACCAATTCGACTGTCAGTATAACGAAGTGCTGACTTATTTGTACAGTAGGGCTACAATGGCTATCCGAGTACAGAACCAGAGTATGAGACCTAACCAATTGCAGAGAGATGTAGAGAACAGAGTGACGTATATATCCCCGATACACTTCATTGCAGCATTATGCTACATGACTGGAAAGGACACGGTATTAACATCAATGGCAAGTACGTAACTCACCTTCGATTTGCCGACGATATATATAGTCCTTATGGCAGAATCGCTGAAGGACCTAAGGACTATGCTCAATGACCTCAATAGTGCCACCCAACAGATAGATGACCATGGACAAAACAAAGATCATGTGTAACATTTATGTCACACCTATGCCACGTCTATGCCAATAGTTGTTGAGAGCACTAAGCTCGAAGTTGTTAACAAATATGTTTACTCGGGATAAATAGTTTGACTAGGTAAGTTCAATTTCGACCAAGAGGTTAATTGACGGATTAAACTCAGCTGGGCAGCGTTCGGTAAATTACGAAACATCTTCTCGTCAGGTATATCTCAAAACTTGAAAACGAGACTGTACAAACAATGCGTGTTGCCAGTGATGATTTATGGATCTGAGACATGGTCCTTCACTGCTGGCCATATGAGGAAGCTTAAGGTCGCTCAGCGAGCTATGGCGAGGGCTATGGTTATGGATAATAAACTTAAAAATGAAAATATCCGCAGTAGAACTAGAGTAACCGATATAGCGACTAGAAAGCTGAAGTTATAGCCACTTCATGTTTCTAGTACGTTAGGCGGCCATTTATCTCGAAGAAAAGAAAACCGATGGGGAAAAAAGGTTCTAGAGTGGCAGCTTCGTACCGATAGGCGAAGTGTAGGGGCGACCCCCCTCTAAAACGAGTGACATGGTTAGACACGCAGGAAGTCGATGGATGCAGGTGGATTCAGGACCATGCTTTGTGACATTCCTTAGGGGAGGCAATGTTCAAAGGGCTGTTATGACGATAATGATGACACTAGTGAAAAAACGTTTAGTTTTACGTTATAGTCAATTAAAAAAAATCTTCGTGGATGGCCGTATGTATAGCAGTAACAGCTGTTGCCGTATCAATAACAAAGCTGCAGTGGACTTTTTATGGACAGTAATGAGGAATTGAATAAAAGTTACATCATGTTGCAGTGTTAGAATAGACAGCAGGCGTACCTGTCCTCCTCGCCCTCGATGAGCGCGCGGTAGGTGGCGATTTCGTGGTCGAGCGAGATCTTGATGTCCATGAGCGTGGCGTACTCGCGCAGCTGCGCCGCCATCTCGTCGCGCAGGCGCGCCAGCTCCTGCTCCAGCGCCGCCAGGTCCTCTGCGTGCCGCGCGCGCTCCGACTCCAGCTGCCGCTCCAGCTCGCGGCACCGGTTCTGTCACACACACCACTCACCGTTATACAAGGCTCTACTATGCTGCAGGTACACTATAGTGACACGAATGGGTGAGCTCATCCGGCTAATAACCACGCTCTCACAGCATACAGGCAAAAATGGCAGCTTAACTTCTTTTTGTTTTTGATTTTTCTGCATTTTGATCCTTCATTGAAGGTAAATGTAGATATGTATGGTCCACAGCAACCACTTACCATCAGGACGTTAATCACCCTAATAAAAAAAAACACTAGTGTGGTGGCGACGTAAGAGGCGACAACGAGATATGCCAAAAAGGTTTCATGGCTTTCCTTCCTAGTGGCGTAATATACTATTTTACAAAAGTCGAGTAACAAGCAAACACTGAGCCCACCTGGTGTTAAGTGAAGTCAAATACAGTGGTTGTATCCCCGAGGACAAAAGCCAGTATTCAGAGACAATTTTCAGTTTGAATTCCAAATCCTATAAATCTCAAAAATTGTGGAGTATAATATAACGGCACATTTTCACTACCAACTTTTGAAATTATTACATTTTATTATTTTTAGGTCCTTGAAGTTGACTATTTATTAAAAGGCAATTTTTGTGCTGCAATACTAATCAATTTTAAATTAGTTTCATATTTTTAGAATGATAACAAAAAGGAATCAGATATAAGTAAAACTGGATACACATTTCATCTCTTATTAACAAAATCTTAATTTCAGTTTGCTAATGAGATTACACATTATTTCAAGGGAAGTAAAAGTATGACAAGACTTACGCTCAGCGCAGCATTCTTGTTTTCCAAATCGTTCAGCGTGGAGTTGAGGCTGTCAATGCGCGTGTGCATTGTGCGGAGCTCTTCCACTGCCACGTTGGCCGCATTACTGTTGCGGTTGGCGGCAGCCTGCAGGTTCTTCAGCTACATATATAACAGACATAAGTTATAGGAATTAAATTTGATAAATTAAAATAGAGTAAGAATTGGCAGAGATTTTAAACAGTGATTAAAGCTAGAAATTCAAAACAAGAAAATATGAGTAGTAAAATATCTGCGGGCATCTAAAATGGAGATTATATGTTTTTTTATGTACCTTATTTTCATAGAGAGCTTCAATTTCCTCTCTGTTGGCCTTAATATTGGCTTCTTGTTGCTCGCGTAGTTCCTGCAGACTTTGTTGTAACTTAGCTTCATACTGTTGAGCCAAACGACCGTCTGAAAGTAAAAAACAGAAACCACAAAGTTTATTATATTTAATTCAAATCTTATAAATTCAATATTAAAATTGTTTACTACTGACCGATCTCCGAGATCTCGACTTGGCGACGGGTGCGAGTTTCCTGCAGCTCCTGTTGGAACACTTGATCCTTGAAGGAAAGTTCTTCGCGCAGACTTTGTACGGTGTTCTCCATGTCAATACGGCACAACATCTCTTCTTCAAGTGTTTTGCGTGTATCGGCGTAAACCTTACGCAGTTTTTCCAATTCCTTCGCCAATTCCTGAGGAAGAGTACTGATAGTTATTCAAACATAGATAATCTCTGAAACCATTTTAGTAGATAACATAAATAAATAAAAATTTTGCAATGAAAAATAATTCACAAGTGAATTATTCTAACTGGGGCGATAATAAATTTCGCGGAATGGAAGGTGATGGGGATGCCGATCCAGGTAGTTACTAATTGATTACAATTTAATCGATTCTTAGCTTTTGAGCTTTTATCAACAAACAAACTAGCTATTCAGGAAGAGACCAGCCCAAATGGTAAAAAAAACTTTAACATTGCGCCGCGCCGTATTTAAATTCCTTAATAAACAAGGGAAAACACTTCAAAGAATTTTGAAGAGATGTAAGCCGATACTCGTGACTCTACCTCTTGGTGAAACCATTGTATATAATTAAAATAGTCTTTAAGCAAGGAAGAGAATCGATTGAAGACAATCCTCCATGCGGAGGGTTGATTAAGACTAGTTACTACGCCTGAAATCATTAAAAAGTTGAAAAACTTGTATAGAATAATGACGGTTAAAAAAGAAGCAGTGTTTTGAAATGGTTAGAGAACACGAATCAACCATATTAAGCATCCTACATCTTGGGATGTATTTAGTTAGTTCTGATAATGCTGACACCACTTCAAAAATGCGAACGCGTGTTTTTGGAGCGATGTGGAGGTGATAGAGCTTGGTTTGACCATTACAAAGCTAAGTCAAAGCAAGAATCGATGCAATGACACAAAAAACCCCTACTAAAACATTAAGTGTCGTAATCGGTTGGAAATTCGTATTTTCTGAAATATTTTGAGATACAGAATCGTATCTTGTTGATCGATCATAAGGAAATTGGCATTACCATAACGGGAGATAACTACGCTTTCTTAGAACAATTAAAGGAAGCTATCAAAGAACAAAGAAGTAAGTTACGCGTCCATCCACACGAGCCATATAGTGACTGTTGCCATTCATTTGGTCTGGCTTGTCCTTTATATGATACTATCGGGATAAGATACAACTATTAACAACTATTCCATATTTTAATGATTTCTACTGATTTATCTCCTATGAACCCGAAAAGTTATTTTTACTCATAGGCCGTCCATAGGTATTAAGGAGTGAAGGATTCTGTTCTATGTTTTTTGCTAACTACTTACATTGTACGTAATAAAAAGATTAGTATGAGTATGATTGCTCTATCGCTATTTTTAGGATAAATAAAAAGTAAGCTAACCCTTGCTTCATCTTGAGCTTTCTTCTTGTCAGCAAGAGCATTATTGTATTTGTTACTCTCTTCTGTGTAACGTGTTTCATAATGACGGGCCAAATTCTCTGCCTGCTGACAGTCCTTGGTCTTCTTATCCAATCTGAAATATTGATGTCATAGTTATAATTACACAAAAGTAAGTATGTAAAGGTTAAGTGTGACTCGATCTAACTTAAACGAGGTTAGCTAACAAATTAACAACCTTATATTTTATTGAATAAAGCATAAAAATGAATGCGTTTTAAAAATTTGTCTTGACTAAAATTGGCTCGTATTCGTGAACACGCGAGGTTGCGCAACGACACGCGTTAAGGAATGTTATTGTAAACACGCAGACTATTTAGTACTTTAGTTCCTCTCTACTCATCGCTTGTTTTCGGATTGTTTAACAACATGATTTAGTTAGATAGCCTAACTTGTTTTATACCACGTGGTTACTGTAGGCTGCTTCCCCGTTGACGTAGAATCATGAAAATTTGCAAGAAGCGAGGTTTCAAAGTCTAGGAAAAAACCCGAAAATCATTAATTTGTTGTAAAATTATATCTCTGATCAATCGATCATGATGTATATGTATGTATAAGAAAACAATTTATCCGATGCAAATTATAGTTTGTTCGTCAATCCGACTTATGCACTTTCCAAGTGACGCGACACGATGTGTGGGAAATCGAATCGATTGATGTGCGTCATCGACCAAGCTAACGTTCTTATTTCGCAATCATATCAATTCACGAGGACTTTACTGACTGACTTTTTACCGTGAAGAAAAAAATGGGTGTAATAGATGAATGAAGTAGAAAGCTATAAAATGTATATTTTAAAAATGAATTTATTTAAAATTTATGAGATTAATCTATCAATAATTACTACAATTATTGAAGTAAACATTTTACCTAGCGACCGGTTTAAAATCAAGGGCGTCGCAATTCAATGTTCGACCCCATTTTATACATGGAAAGAAAGTGTAATGCATTAAAATGGGGTGCGCAAAAGTCAGCCGGTATATTTATGCAGTGTATATGGCAGTGTGAAAAGTCTATACCCTATATCATCCTTTAATTATATTAAAAGTTCACTGCTAACAGGGTGCAATGTGTCATAGTTGCCACGCTTGGTTTATAATCATGAGCATGATGAAGAAAAGAAGACTTTTTATTAAAGTACCATTATTTATTCATTAATTACAGCCTGTCGAAAGTCAAAAAATAAAATATGGTCTTAGTTTCTCAACTTCCGACAGGTTCCGAAAACTAAGAAAATAGACGTTCTCCAGAGATTGCCTTATACGAAGGATAGTGGACACGCTTGTTGCAGTTTTTTAATATTGTGATTGGTTATCAGTGTTGCTGCCTTATATAAAGTAACTATTATTACAAAAAATGATGCCCGACACAGAGATCAGTAGTTGCGCAACTAAAATCGCTAATCGATATACCGAACAGGGAATCGCACACGAGTCGAAACGTAATCAAGCACTTACGCGTCCCCGTATATTTAAAATAATATCGTATGTTAATAAGACACACATATCTCAATAATGATGAGCAGATCTGGAAGAGATACGAGGGTGGATTGAAAAGTACTCGGCCTAACCAAGAAAATAAACACATACTAAATCAGTTATATTTTTATTTTTCTACATAATCACCATCAAGTTCAATACACTTTTGCCACCTCCCCTTCCAAGCATTTAGACCGTTGAAAAAAAATGATTCTTCCTTAGAGTCAAAATATGCGTCTACAGCTGCTTTGACCTCGTCGTTTGTCGAAAATCTTTGATCTCCCAAGTGCTTTTTTAGGTTAGGGAACAGAAAGAAGTCTGATGGTGCCAGATCAGGTGAATACGGCGGATGCGGTAACAGTTCAAAGCCACAGTTGTGAATTTCAGCCATTGACTGTACTGACGTGTGAACACGGGCGTTATCTTGATGAAACAGGACTTTTCTTCTGAGCATTCCTCGACGTTTTTCTTTTATTTCCTCTCGTAAACGACGTAGTAAGGTGCAGTAGTAATCAGAGTTTATAGTCTGACCCCTTTCAAGATAATCAATCATAATCACACCTTTCCAGTCCCAGAATACTGAAGCCATCACCTTATTTGCCGACAAAATCAACTTAGCCTTTTTAGGGGGTGGTGAACCAGGTCTTCTCCACTGTTTTGATTGTTGTTTTGTTTCCGGTGTACAGTAATGAACCCATGTTTCGTCCATAGTAACAAAACGATTCAAAAAATCATCTGCATCGGCTTCAAATAACTCCAAACAGTCGCGTGAAATAGTCAATCGCGTCCTTTTTTGTTCAACTGAAAGCAGTCGCGGAACCCACCTCGCAGACACCTTGTGGAAACCCAACTCGTTGACAATGATGTTTTGAGTTCGTTCATAAGAAATGCCTATAATCTCGGCTATCTCTCTAATTTTTAATCTGCGGTCTCCCATTATTAAATCAAGTAATTTTTAAATATTTTCGTCAGCAGTTGACGTCGAAGGCCTTCCAGAGCGGGGTTCATCTTTCACACTCTCTCTACCACGCTTAAATTCTGCTATCCATTTTTTGACGGATGAATATGACAGAGCACAATCGCCTAATGTACTGACCATGTCATCATGGATGGCTTTTGATGATAGCCCCTTCTTATGGAGGTACTTAATGACGGCACGCTGCTCGATTTGCTCCATTCGCGGAAATTATGTCCGATTACTTTGTTAATAAATTTATAAAATCACAACTAATTATCGCACACGTTTCGAACTTCACACAATGAACTAGTCTGAACTGAACTAAATAATGTGGGTAGATTTGATTTTTAGAATTGAATGGATCTGTGTTAGGCCGAGTACTTTTCAATCCACCCTCGTATCAAAACGACTTTGTCAGAAAAAAAATGGCGATTGTCCATACATTTCCTTACATCGGTCGCAAGTTTATAAGATATCTGAGAGATATCGGCAATATTCCGCCGCGTCATGAGTAAATAGCCTCACGAGTACCTTTTCATTAGAGCAATGTTGGTACTTACCATAACTAGGATTTAATGTTAATTATATATTGGTGAGAGTAATTACTTGTCAACTTCTTACACTGTTAGATGTATGTGTACCTATTGTAAAGAAATTATTATTAAAAATCGTCGAGACGCGATTCCTGGAATGGATGAACTGTTTTACTAGAGATGTTACGAATTCGATTTCTATTCGGAATTCGGCCTATTCGGCGACTTTGTTTAGTATTCGAATAGTTAGCAATATTTAGCCGAAAACCGAATACCAAATCATGAAATAAAGTCACATAACAAAACATTACATTAGGGGTAAGTTATGACGAATGAAAACAATTTTTATTTGTTGATAGCTACCGATTACGCTTTTTCACATAAACTAATACCCGCTTCTGAAAATAGCCTCTGACTGTACCGGGCGATGACAGATAATTTTTTGCGAATTCTGTCAGCTTTGGATACCGTTATTACCTACGTTTGCTGATCACCATTGTAAGGGTCTGTTGCCGATCTAGGTGAGCGGTTTTTAGATAAAAATCAATCTCATTTATAATAGAACTTTTCTTTTCCACATCTTCCATCTTTCTCACTATTCTGTAGACTTCCTCAAAACGACTCCAGAAACTGTTGCCGGCGGAAGGGCCGAATGTTCGGCGCTTCGGCCAAAAGTGTGGCTAGATAATATTCAGTATTCGGCAAAATTACAATTCGTGGAATCTCTTCGAATTTGTAATATTTTTTGGTAATTTATTATTTTTTATTGTTATTTATTTCCGAATCTATTTTATTAATGCATGGTTATTTCAAACCTTATAATGTGTCACTGAGTACTACGAAGCAAACCCAGTTACTATATTGGTAGGCACCTACATGCGCTGTAAAAATCCGCGTAGACAGCCTTGGCCGATATTCAGTTAAAGAATCGTAGACGCAAAATCTATAATTAAGTTACCCTATATTTTTATGATGTCGCGTATAAAAGCAAGACGTTATTATTTAAATTAACTGAACAAATTCTTTTGTTTATAATGATTCTTTACATGAGTCTAATAATATATTATGTCGGTAAGAAAAATTTGTGTGCGAATGAAAATTACAGCAAAAAATTTGTATCAGAAAGACTACAAATAAATTCAGCGTTTAAAAATACAAGAGTAAGCCAGTAGTGCGACAGACGATGTTCCAATAAAATATTTCCCTCCGTATTAACGTGCTTATTTCGAGTGTTTAATATATATATATATATATATATATATATATATATATATATATATATATATATATATATATATATTTTTATATATATATATTTATTCTTTCTTGATTTGAACGTTTTTTATAAATTCCACCCGAGGTCACGAGTAGCTATTGGTACAAAAAATATAAAGCTATTGTGTTCTCACTAATTATAAGAATATGAATTATTCTCCAAACACATGTGCAAGAGTTAATATAGACAATACAATGCGGGAGGAAGCTACGTGGGGTAGAGACGAATATAACTTTCTTATCTATTATGATAAGATACTAATTTGATATAACGACCTCAACTGGCTTTAAAATAATATTTTTCAAGTCGTGTAGAATTTACAGCAGATGGGCAGAGTATTTCTGATAACAACCCGAAATAATAAAAACTTCTTAAGTCAGTTTTTACTAAATCGATGATAAAATTGCAGTTGCCAACCTGCCTGAACTGAATTAAAACAATTCCATTACATTCATACTTCATGCTCACACTTAAGGTGATACCTCGAAAATTTGGTGGTTTTTCTATTTAACATATTTTTTTAAGTTTTATAGATTACAAACCAAAATTTTGGTATATGATTTTTGACTATATGACCTTGGATTGTATAAAAGGAAAACACGATATCATGAAATTTCTGATAGAAAAAAATTGCAAGTAGGTCTAATTAGTTACATTTTTCGATGAAACCACAACATTCTTACGAATAAGTTCACGGAATTATTTTTAAGGCATATTAAATAATCATATCTAAGTTCTCATAAACCAGTTTTTTAATCCATAACGAAGTTTTGTTAAAATAAATAAAAATGTTGTTTGGCGCTTACTTAGTTTTTTTCCGAGCGCTTGCTC